ACTCATTATTTGATGTCTCAATGAAAAACATTCTTCATTATACGAGGTATATTCGAAAATGGTAAAGCTACCTTTTTTCAAAAATTGTACAAAAGTTTATTTTAACCCAATTTGGTTTTACCATGGAAATTCATTCTTAAATTGAATATTCACGATATTACCGCCAAGTGCTTACAAGCACTTATCGAGCGTAGTTTTGTAATTACCATCTATCAAAAAACTTCGCCCAGCTAATCGACACCACGACTCCACCAGGCATGACATTTCGTCTCATCCTCATTTCCAAACCGCATGCCCCTACTTTGTTTTGCAACAAAACTGTACTTGAAAATTTGTGGGAAATTCCTGCTGAAGCATAGTTATGTTGTGAACCATCTGCTTCTCCATAATTTTTTTCATCAACTCTTCTTACAATGCATTGAAGACAATAGAATGCCGAGCCTCATCGAGAAACATTCTTCCCCATCATCACTTAACGGGTCATTCACCTTAAACTTCTTTAACTTGTAGATACATTTCGGCCGGCTTAACATTCCTTGCGCTTCAAAATTCCAATCACGGTACAAATCTCACAGTCGACGAAGAGGAAGCAACCACCTTAAACTTTTAATTGTGTACAGAAAAAACTAATGGGAAGTACAACAATATCAACGAAAATTTACCAATTGTAGCGTCAGTGGAAAACATAGAGGAAGTGCGCATTCTCAGGACACACACCGAAGCTCTAAAACTGTATAAAAGGTTCGTATATTGCAACTGACAATGAGTTAATGCCATTAAAACGAAAATAAAATAGTATATTACACTACCGGATAGTGTCATATACCTTCTCAAATAACGAAAAGTTGCCAAAAATAGTTTGAAAACATTCATTCATGAATTAATTTCTCTTTTCATGAAACGCCTCCAAAATGTGGTACACGCATCATACCTCCGGCAAACAGCATTGTACATCCAATATACAGCTCAAATACTCGATTTTCTATATTTTGAATTTGGTTTGTCTCCCCCGCCGTCTGACCATTGCACAAAAGGCTTCCTGGCGCCAGTACTAATTTTTTCCGCCAAGGCCCGCGCGAATTGTTATTTCCGCCGCGAGTGCAACCAAGCCGAGGATTAATATAATAAAGTCAGACGCTTTCCCCATGGCCCCCCTCCACACGGCCTGCCACCTCCCCACCCCATCAACGCCCCCTTCGACCCCGCCGCCATTTGCATATTAAATTGAATCTGCCGGTTTTCGCATAAGGAAGCCAAGGAACGCTTTCTAGAAACGTGCGTATTAGAAGCCCGGCGGGAGGACTAACCCCTGGAGAAAATGCGGTGCCGGGAAAGAAAAGGATGGTGGGGCGACGTTGTAGGAGAAATGGTAGATGGGTGATATATTTTCAAGGCATGATATAGGTTGACCCATTTAGATTGGAGAGTGTTTGTGATGGGATGATTGGGATATTGAAGGAAGAAAAGTTGAGAAAATCTGGCTCATTCGATCAGGCATAGCGCACCGAGCCCGGGGCGGCGAGCGAGGACAACTCAGACCACTGAAAGACGAGAAAGCAACTGGGGTCACGGTAATTTTATTAAGCACACACCCCTGCAGTTGCAGGTGTCGCGGCTATCAGGTTGATGCTCATAATAAAAGGAAGCCGGGGAGCGCAAAGAAAAGAGAAGCGCTGGGCAGGTCATATCAAAGGAAGGGGTAAGTGAATGCTTCAGTAATTGGAGAGATAAAAGGAAGGTGGCACATATATATTCGGGACTCAAGAAGCGGTTACGTCATGGCTGATGTAATATGCTTAATGTAAGATACAAGGAATCCATTAAGGTACTTTTGAACACCCATAAATGTAGTATACTTTAGTATACTTTTTAAAATATATTAAATTCTAAAATACATATATTAGATTTTGATTCTAAGTATTTTAAATGTTATATTTTATATGCATACATTTTATTGAATTTTGAGTAACACAAGTAATAATAATAACATGTTATATTTATGCCGGTTTATTAGATGTTATGAATTAAAATATCAATAGATGCAGACATCCAATTCCAAATAAAATGTTTTATTGATTAGCACTCAACTAATTAGAATTAATGAAACAGTTTATATGGAAATAATTGCATATAAATAATATATATTTTATAATAATAAAGTTGTATTGCGTGTGTTATAATAATAATAATAATAATTATTATTATTATTATTATTATAACACACGCAATACAACTTTTACTTGCTTTAACATAACATTTTAATAACATTCTCTTTGAATTTAAGAATTTTACTGTGAGGGGAGTCACATTTGCGGTTACACATTACAAAATGGGACAATGCACATTCAACTGCTAAATTGTATTTTACACAATGCAGTATATTCACTGAATAAAGAATAAAAGAGAATAACCAGTACCCAGCTACAGTGTAATGAAGCCTTACTGAACAGTGTGATATGAGTTTTCCAGCTATATAAATACAACTTTCACACAAAGTGCTTTATTTTTTCTCCAAGAACTTCAGTTAGAAACGAATTGAATGACATTTTGATGCCCTGTAAATGCCACGGTTCTCACTCAGTTTCAAATTATTTCCGCAACTATTCATTTCGATGTTTTAATGATGTGAACCGTTAAAATATTAATTTCGATTTTCCATCTGCAATATGAAAGGGACTATCACAAACTGGAGAGCGCTCAAGGGAAGTCCGTCCAGCAGTGAAGTGCAGCACCACCCCAGCTGCTCCCGGAGAAACAACTGCAAGTCCACTCGGGTAAGATACACAAAGTAGGCGAAGCGGGCGCGGAAGGGGGCGCGTCGGGCTGTCGGAACAGCTAGCGGAGGGAGCGGCGTGCGCGATAGCGGTCCGAACGGGAGCGCGGGCCGCACTCGCCAACTGGCCCTCCTGTATCATAGCCTACCCGCGCCGCGCCGCGCCGCCGGCTAAGTTAAACTTGGGCTGAAAGCTTGCCGCGCAACCACGCAGCGCAGCGGGAGCGGTAATGAAGTTAGAAAGTGGACAAGCCAGTAGCCGACGAAACTGCCCGGGCGGCCGCCGCTCCAGCGACGTGCTCGCGCTGCCCCGCCGGCAGCCGGCGGCGCTCGCTTTGCGCTGGGTCCGAATGATGGAAACCAGGCCAAACCGAACTCGAGTTATTCCTTGATTAGTGCTTCCGTTCGCGTAGACAACTTTGGTCGTTATCTCCGTGAGTGTAATCCATGTGTGTACCGCGGGAGGTGTCGGTCATGTTTCCCCGATAGATGGTGATATCCGGCTCCGACCAACACGTCGACTTGCGGGTTTACCCCAACCCCACACCTAGCCCCAGCGAGGGCAAACCCTAAGCACCTGCCTTCTCTCCTGGTACGTGTGGTAGCATAGTGCATGTAAGTGGAAGAGTGGTAAGTAGAAGGTAAGAATAGAACAAAGAAGAAGGAAAGAAAGCGTGGGGTTTGTGGCTCTTCTATTGTCAGATGAGATTAAACATTATCGAATCACAAGTTCAAAGCCCAAGAAAACTTTTTTGAAACCTTTTTTTCTATACAATTAGATATTATACCGAGTATAATACATTGTAATAATGATATTAACGCATTAGTTATGTTTATTTGTGTATTTCCATAAGACTGAATGGATGAAACAGTATTGTAAACAGTTTCAGGGACAAAGTCGATATCGATTGGATTTTTGTTAATTTTCCTTTAATATGGTATTAAGCAAATTGTTAAATACTTTACACCTTATTTGAGTTTCTCGTTTACAAATGCCACATTTAAATGTGCACATTACGTTAATGAGTTAAGAGTAAATGAATAAAAAAATTTCATTTTGCTTCAAATCTAATGTTAATTAAAAACATGCGATAACCAACACGGCTATCAAAAGAACCAAAATAGTCCTTACATGGTGATGTGATGAATATTTAGCTGTATGAAAAGAAATAATAATATCTCACCGACTAAAAGTCACAAAACCAAGGTAGTTTATTTGTTACAAACTCTTGTGCAAAGTTCCCTTTTTTTACTGTATCGAGGGTAAAAATGCGTTCGCATATCTTTCACATTTAGTAGTCTGGGTTGCTACACCCCAATTCATAACGCGGATTAGTTTGTGTAATTTAACAACATAGATTTCACACAAAAGATCTGTTATTGCCCTAAATATTTATCTCTCAACATTGACTGAAGAGTGCCACTGTAAAATATGTATTTTTGAAGTTTTGATCGCATGTTCGCCTTTTGGACACATCGTGCATCGCCGTAACGGCCAAGTTCCGCGCAAGCGGGCGTAGAAGTGCTAATGACGAGATTGTAAGGCGCCACTTTGTAATTTCATTAGCAGAATACAGTTATTCGTGACAGACCCAAGTGCGCACGGCTCGTATCTAGGAATGTAGTTTCATTACTAGTTTAAGTGGATAAAGACATCTGCATTTACAGCCAAGCTGTTTCTCAAACCAAAGCAGTTGATCACTGCGAACAGTTATGGTTTTGAGTATCTAGGAAAAACCGTCTAAAATGAAACTGAAGTTCTTAGTAATAATTACATTTATGTTGTGAAATAACATCTGGTACTTTTATTACATCTGTAATTTCAAAATGTACTGCCCGAAAAGAAACAAGTATCTTTTTAATTCGAAATATCATTTAGACATTTATAGATAGATCATTTAGTAATAAAATCTCTCTTTTCAAGCTGCGTAGAAGTTCTTTTTTCCAGATTTTATGGTAGTAATGATCTTATTCCTAGTAGGTGAACATAAAATTGACCCTCACTTGTGCACAGCCTTCGCTTCGAGCCTATTTTCGTTAATTTGATAGCAGTATCTCACATGTTTTGAAAGCTATATCAAAATTTAACTGAATGGAATTGAACAGAATTATATTAAACACTTTGCAATATATAAATGTATTTTGAAAGAGCATATTTGAAAGAATCAGAATGGACTAATAGCAAGTTTTCGCAAAAGTTGTAATTTCAGAATAACTAATGATTATTTCATAAAATTTTGTTTGATATCATGCCACTCAAATTGAGGAGAAAGAGTTCGTACTGTTCATATTTGCTCTTTTTCTGTTCTATGCCTTTATACGAGCTTACATGTTTTCCAATCATAGACTAAAAATAATTAAAGTCACGAGATGTTTCTGACAAAATACTCTTGTACTATTTCAAGTGAACAAAATTGATATATTTAAACATGTATAGTTGATATAATTTAAGTTATATGTAAGAATCAGGCAAATCAGATCTATAAGAATAACAATAGATAACTGAACCCAATTTGAATCTAAAAACAATTACCTTACATTCATTACTGAATATTAACACGTACTTGAAACAAAAGAAATGTAATTTTTTCTTTAAAGTGAATAAAAGATAATGAAGTGCCAGGAGTACCATTATTTTCGACGTTTCATGTGTTATGGTTAAGACGAATTACAAACAAAAAATTGTATTAATTTGAAATTGTACACTTTTAACCTGTCCTCCCGCCATCTCTCGATTAAAAAGCGGAAGAGAGAAACTCTACTCTTATGTAAACACATTTAATACGTCGCCGAAAGTAATTACATACTTCGAAAAATTGCGCTTCACGCTGTATGATTTAGAGGATTCAAATCAAGGATACTTCATTTTCCGAAATAGATAATCTTTAGAAGCGTCAATCAGTTTACGACTCACAGATAAATTTCACTATCAAACACTTAATTGGTAGGCCTGAGACAAACGAGCACATTTAATGTAATTGCGGTGTTAAGAAGTGAACAGCGTCGTTTCGAAAACAGCCATTTCTCTTTCGCTATTCCCTTAAGCAAGCGGGGGCGTTCTCTTGAACTTTTCTCCCCCACCAACCAGCGACGTGTGTCTTCATTTGGGTGTTCGTTTCTTGGACACTTTTCAGAGAAAGACGGTAGTGAGGGGATAGAACGAAATGGATGGCGAGGAGATAAGGGGCGACACCTAGAATTAAATGAAACAGGGAAAGAGAAATAAAACAAACGTAGAATATGTAATAAATGTAAAATGTATAAATAAAGACAAAAATAATATCCACAATAACATCCAATGAGGTGAAGAATGGTGGAATATTAAATGAAAAGTGAACAAAATAATGAAACATTTTGTTAATCCAAATTATTTATACTATCAAATGAAATCCTCTAATTTTGCGCAGATTTACAAGTAAAAGAACTGTTCTTTCTACTTTTAAATTCAGTTCCGTCATAAAATTGGAACAACATATGAGAAAGTATGTTGTAAATATTCACTTTCAGCTAATAGTTGTCTGAAGGGTCCAAGGAACTCTCAATATGTCGTTAAGGAATACGAGGAAATGAAAACATGTTTCATCCCGAATCCTGTGTTTCTTGCAATAATTATAGGGAATAGGTCTACGACGATCGTATCGACATATTTCTTGGTTCTGAGGATAGGAATGAGATTGATATTCTGCAGACATTTTAAATAGTGTAAATTGTCCTACGCGTTGGTACCAGTTTCTCGCCTCCTTATTATGACAAAAATCTGCGAAAATTATTTTAGGCTCTGCAAGAAATCCGAAAAATAATTTAATCTGTGAGTATTGAAGAAATGATTTGATTATTTGCTGATTTGAGAGATACTACAGACTACTGTCTATGGAAAATCGCACATCATCTGAGACGCGTAGAGAGCATCAGGGAGCTCATGCGGTGAACAAAGCCAGCTCTCAATAGAGGTGGCTTCTCTTAAACCAAAAAGCCAGGGTACCCGCTAGGGATTCGACTTCGAAAACAAAATATCGATGGTAATATATCGCTCAAACGCACTGATGTTTTTAAAACTGATTTAATAACCTCTAACTGCAAATGTACGTTCTAACATTAACGTCCGCGCGTGGAAAAATCTAATTTTTTAAGAGGTCTTAAGTAAATAATAATAATAATAATAATAATAATAATAATAATAATAACTGAATCTGAGCGTTCAGAATCATATCAAGGAGTTAGAAGTTCATTTCAGAGTGGAAGGTTCGGAAAACAGGGTGGGTGCTCTACACCTTCGGCTCATGATTTGACTGCAGATGTGAAAAGGTGTAGAAAATACTAAACTTCAGAATCAACTCTCCGACGCGAGATAGTCTAGCTCATAACAGTTAGCTTTCATCGAACAAATGGACTGATGATAGGATCTATATTTCAAATATATTTCTCATTCTGATGAGATTATTTAAATAGATCCACAAACAACTTTGAAAAAAGACATCGAGGAATACACATCGATGTAAAAAGCATTGCCTGCAAAACATCGATTCCAGAAACTGTGCCCGCGGGTGCTTTCATAAAGCTTACAACAAGTGCACTCAGGGGCCGCGTGGCGCGCAGCGGCGAGCAGCTCGCGCAGGGCGCCCGTTCGCCAGCTGCGACTGCGCGTCGGCCTTCGCCTCCGCCGCCTGCGCCCACATGGGCTGCGCCGAGGGCGAACCCCGAACCCCTTCCCGGAAGCTATTCGAGGGCAAAGCACCTAATAAGCCGCCCTCGCGAAGCCGCTTTGTGTCGGCTTATTTGCCGTAAAAACAGGAAAAGTGTGTGCAGTGAATAGGTAAGATCTTTTCTTGTGTTTCAGAATACGTAACTCACAATCTCTTCTTAATACGTAGTTGAATTATGACTCGACGTACCGAAGAACGTGGATGGTGACATTCGAAAATCATATTTTCAATTTTTTTCCCTTCCAGACTCAGGAATTTTCATGGGGGAACAAATTACACGATTCATTTTATAGAATTACTGACGTAATAACAGCGTCTTCCCTTGCTTCTGCCGAGATAAGAAATAAGAGAGTTCATTAAAATGTGAGCATGTGGGATAGGAAGATCACACGATGACGACTAGAACGTTGGTAAATGTGGATAGAACGCGATGTCTCCCTGATAAGCCAGTATTTAATGATTCCGGTCGCGAAAGTACACGTTTTTGGTCCGCAGTGAATTGACGCTCAAGTTCTGCCACTGCCTTGTGGGCTATTTTTATTTGAATCATTATGGATATAGGGTACTGAGGCCGTTGCAAGATCAGGAACATAGATGAAATAGATATCCCTGTCATGTAACTATGGTTCACGTGTTCATAAACACATCTATTCATTTACCTATTATTGTTTTATAACACCAATATTTCATCATTCCCTGAAGGTATGAAGCATGTTTATGATCAATTTCAACAATCATGTTTATTTCTACGTACAATATACAAAAGAGACTATACGATACCGATATGTTTCTGATAATTTACAATGTTTAGGAACATCATTCAATAAAGTAATAGTATATCATCAAAAACGATGTGTGGCGGCAATTATTTTTTAAAAAATTAAAATTAGCATTGCTGTAACGTGAAGATTCTAATGAGTACAAACAAATGTACTTGTTGATATATTTTACTGTCTTCTGTGTAGATTTTCTTTTATTATCCTCCATGCCGTCGCTCTTCTTCAACTTCCCATTAATTTTTTTCTACAGCTTCCACTCCCTCCTTTAGAATTCTGTGATCCTGTTCTTTAGTTTCATCGCCCCAAGGGGCTCATTAAACTTGCTCCCCCACATCGCCCCCCTCCATCGCCCATTGTCCCTGCTGCGTGCAGCCCCACCCACGCTGCCCTCATCCCTTCATCGTGGTCTAATGGGTGCGAACGGCGATTGGAAATGTACATTCAATGCGCCATCCTAATTAGGCCGTTCATTCGATGATTCTTCGACCACTTCCAGATCATATTCCGTGCCCGTTGGTTATTGTCTTCGACCTACTTCTGTTAAAACATTCTTTGGTCTTTGGGTTTTAAAGGAATTTCAAAATCTTGGGCTGTAACAGAACCTTTCTATAAGTTGTATCTAGTGAACTTGCCTCTTTTCTTGAACAACTTGCAATATCGGTTTTCGGAAAATAGCTTGATTAAGCCTTCTTAAGGTGCTATATAACTAGAAGTATTAATAAGCATAATAATTTGTGTTGTTGAGTATTGGATAATTGGCATTTGATCGCTAATGTATGCCGAAATTATCTCCTTGTATGTTACGAAATGTCATACCTGTGATTCAAAAAATATATTTTAGCGTAATATCTTCTTTTTATCTTCTCATTTCCAAGATATGTTTGTTACCAACATTACCCTCCGAGTTGGCTTTCGTGGCGATTGGAGAAAGTTTAAAATCGAAAAAGAGTTTATATGTGTTTTTACGGACATAATATTCTGTTTATAGATATTTGTAGCTAATACTTTCAATCAAACATTCCTACAATATTAATATAAACATTATAAAGTTTTCTTAAACAGCCATCTTAAAAAAATATGAAATAAAACCGCACAATTAGAAATTACTTAAAGTGAAAGAAACATGAAATAATAGACATTGATGCCACTTTTTGTATTTCCTTCAAAGAGCTTTTGAATATTTTCATGTTTTTCTCATTTCAGTTCAACTATGTTTATTGCACAAATAGAAAAGCGCACACACTATATCTTGTTCCCGCTTTTCTACCTGATCTCAAACAAATCCGATTTGCGCTCTGTGATCTCTCCATGTTCTCTTTCCTTGGCGATTGGGCTGTTGCTCGTTGTGAAAAGACATCGGGATATTCAACAAACATTCTGTGAAGAGGAATAGTTATACTCGTATCAAATGGGATGTAGATCAGTAAGTTGTATTTATTGGACAAACTCTCACATCTATATTAAAAATATCGAATAACGCAGAAATTGACGGAAAACTGTGCAGTTAAATATCTTTTGTGAGATGCGTCTGGATTCGTTAGTTACCCAGGAAAAGGGAGAAATTCAAAACAACTATTTTACTAATTTTCAGAATACGATGAAATTAAAGGAAAACTGTGCTTCCTCCGGTCATGTGAGAGGAGTCTATGGTTTTTTTAGATATTAAAAAATAACTGAAAAAAAAACGAATTTGATTGTAAAATACAAGTATTTGATTGTGTTATTCCACCTATTACTATTTTGCGATACCGAATGCATCGTTAAATTGCTCATTCCCTTATTATGACACAGCTGATGTGATGTGACAGTAAGGCTTCCAGGAAGAGAACGCCTGCCGTTAAATATTTGCTATTCATTTGTTGTGTTATGATAGCAGCTTTGTTTATACTTTTAGTATGAGAAGAACTGTTGTACAACGAACTTGTATACAATACAACAATGTTATTGCAGTACGTGTGAAAACAGTTTTTGGTAGAATATTTAATTTATTGCCGTGTTATGCGAGAGTATTTTATTAGTCGTTTTTGAGCAATGTTCATGCTATGTTTTTCAAATCAATTTTAAATGGTTTTATTTAGCAGAATCTTTACGAGCACTGCTCCACGCAG